AGTTATCTATTTTTCCCATCCTACCTTACCAACTTATCAGTTATCTATTTTTCCCATCCTACCTTAACTATCAGTTAATTTATTTTATTATAGATTACCCATGAAATGAAAGACCTGGTTACTATAAAAGTTCTCACGGAACTTAAAAATTAGGGGTTAAGACCCTTCTGAGAAAAGCTGTGGTTCGTCTTTCACCTCCTGACATGGTTTATTAGACACTCGTCTCGGCAAACAACGAATTGCTGTCTATTTATCACAACCAGCTTCAGATCTTACATGTAGAATGACGGTTTGTGTGTGTGTTAACTGGTTAACACAACGGTTTGTGTGTGTTAACTGGTTAACACAAATATTTCTTACAAGACAGACTGGTTCATGACGATAGAAAGTCATATACTTACAGCCAAGCCCCTTTACCGCCTCTTCTTCCTGGCTCACCTACTCGTTATACTGAAACGTTTCTTACCTGATTTCCAAGATGGCAGTCATGGAATGTCATACGTCTAAACCATCGACCCCACATAGAAAGGTTATATCCCCACTTCTAGCTAATTTTTTACACTTGGATACTACTTAACATTTCTCACGACAACCACCCTGATCGAGCGTATGGTCACCTACAGCTCTTTCTATAAGACCGTCTGATCAATTCTCGGGCTGTGTGCTCAGTAAGCAACAAATGGACGGCCGCAGCCGTTGCTATGGAAACCACCGTCGTATAAACTACTCCCTTCTTCAAAAGGCGGAAGGTTATATGGAACATCAGGCAGACACTGGAATTACTCCCGGATTTCTGTGGTAGTTTAAAAGTAGGAGCGACACCCACCTTTTCTTGCGCAAACGTATTAAAGATATTTTTTCAAACAGATCGGTTTGCACGCATTTGCACACTTAGGCGCAATAGGAGAGCAATACTCAACACTATCCGCCAAGGAGAATTACTCCAGAGCGTTGATAACAAGAATATATCGACAGTACGTATTTTTGGCAACGCGAGATAAAGATCGCAGGTCTTCGACAAAAAAAAAAAACAACAGTAATCTACGTACGTATTTACTCCCTGTAAATAGAATCCATAGAGTAGTTAACGAACCGAAAAACACGTCGCTACATATTAACCTCTTCTGTAAGTAGCCCTCAGAACTAAAACGAATAATACGTAAGAAATCTAAATTATGGATGGCAATATACAGAAGAAGAAGAATACGCCGTATATTCGTAAGCCTCCCTCACTATATGAAACTGATTTAAAACAAAATTAAAATTAGGAATAGGTACATGGAATCCACAGCATGCATTCTTACCCCCCAAATGTAAGGTGAAAACATTGAACCTATAAAGGTGATGAAACTTTCCCTGGAAAGGAGGAGAACCACTAATTAACGTTACAACGAAACGTTCGCCCCATTTCAAAAAGAGAAATAAAAGAAGTTAACATATCTCTCTTTGTTACGCTTTTTCAGAGACGCGGGTTAAAACAACAACAACAACAACAACAAATGCTTAATTGTGTTGACCAAATCTCTGATAATTCCATCATTATTGACCAAGAGCCTAGTGCATCTCACTAAAGATATTTTAATATTAGTGGATGCTTCCAACGTATGCGTGGATAACGAACGTCACGTTCACAAGGGAGAGGAAGGGGGGGAAGTAAAATATCTTGTCTCTCGCTATAAATTTTTTTTGGGGGGGCGCGTTTTTCTTCACAGAAATTTCAATTTTCGCATGACGAGGAAGTTATACGAACTGAAAATGTCTAAAGATCACCGGGGCAGTTCACGAAATCACAATTAGATCGGACAATGAAAGCTAACATCCCTTTCTTCCATTCGATCGGTTTCAAAAGAACGTGACCAAAAGAACTCGTTGCGTGAGCATGCTCAGAGAATAGAACTATTTTCTCAAGAAACGTTACCATTCACACAATACGTAGAAGAACAACACCAAACTCGTAAAAGATGTTTTAAAATGAACTTTTAGGATCTACATCAAGAAGTTTCGAGGTAGCGTAAACCATATATAAAAAACAACAACAACAATAAATATACTGGTTTTTCGTAACAGCTGTTCCCAATGTGTTCAGTTTCTTTCCAGCTAATTTCAATATATTCCTTTTTTTTTTTTGTCCCCCAGTGGCTCAGCGACAAGTCTGAAGGCTTATAACGCTAAAGCCTGGGTTTCGAAACTCGTGGTGGGCACAACACAGACAGCCCATTGTATAGCTTTGTGCTAAAACAACAAACAAACCATTATTTGGCCATTATAGTAGTATTTTGAAGTTTTCACATTTCTAATTACTCTGTGGTAAAAACTTGACATATATATATATATATATATGTTTTCTACACGATACTACTTTCTTTATATTAATTTTATATTTTTGTTTTGCATAAAAATTAACACTCTAATAACATTTACAACTTAAAACTTGTGCACACTGAATGTCTCACAAAAATTCGGGGTTCGATCGCTGCAGTTGACACAGCACATATGGCTCGTTGTATTATACTAAGCGTATCGTGTGAAACCGGTTTATATATAGTCATTAAGTATTGTAAAAGTTCATAACATAGCCGTATACTTACCGCTGTACTACTGGGGGGGGGGGGACATTAGAATTTTAAGTTTGTTTTTGTTTGTTTGTTTGTTTGTATGTTCAGAGCAAAGCCATATTGGGCTATCTGCTGTGCCCACCGCGGGGAATCTAGCTTCGGATTTTAACGTTATAAATCCGTAGATTTATCGCTGTGCTGCCCCGGTGGCTCAGAGGTTTATAACACTAAAATCGAGTTTCGATTCTTGCGGTGGATGCAACCCAGGTAGCCTATTGGGTAGCTTTGCGCTTTACGACAAGCGGCCAATCTTAACATTGTCGATTTATTTTTTTCTCTTAACTGAAGAAATTAAAGTGTAATCCGGAAAAAAAACTGGAATTTATTTTAAAAAAGGAATAATATCAATTCAGTTAACGTCATCCTTCAAACCTGGAGTGAAGTCATAGTAAGAAGCGACGTTAAAACTAGAGGGTGTCCTGAAACTTTTCATTCAAGAACAAAACTCTATATAAGATATTGATGTTTTAGGCATAAGGTCACATTAGCAACAATATGGCGTCCACGACAGTGAAGATAAGTCACATCAACAACAATATGGCGTCCACGAAACAGAAGATAAGTCGCATCAACAACAATATGGCGTCCATGCCAGAGAAGATAAGTCACATCAACAACAATATGGCGTCCACTACAGAGAAGATAAGTCACATCAACAACAATATGGCGTCCACGACAGAGAAGATAAGTCACATCAACAACAATATGGCGTCCACGACAGAGAAGATAAGTCACATCAACAACAATATGGCGTCCATGCCAGAAAAGTATATTTCTGTATGGCAAGTTTTATCGCTACGATATCCACCGTATTCTCAATAATATTTCTATTTAAGCAAAGTTACTAAGGCATCTTTCGCCGACCCTAATTTTGGGCTGTTGATCAGAAAGAAATCAGCTAATAAAAAAAAAACTATCCCCTACCATCCACGCTAAAGGATTGACTGTCACTCTTCTAATGCACCAACGGCTTAAAGCGCGGGGAATATTTTTCGAAATCACATGGATTCGAACCCGGCTCACCAGCTCAGAAATATAAAGGTTTACCACAGGGCCAACCCGTTGTATACACCTATATGCAGAGTTTCGAGATTGTCAGATTTTTGTTGTTGTTGTTGTTTTGTGATCTTTTTTTTTTAAGGAATAATACTACGCCCTCTATTGTAACAGGAAGTTTTAGGTCCTAAAAAATAGGGCCCAACTTCAAGACAAAAAGCTTGCTATTAAAATAGGTTTATCGAGATATTAACTAGTTTTACTTATCTGTATTCGTTTGGAACAGATAAAACGTAATAAATTGTTAATTCTTCCCCCCACAGAAATAGCCATAATAGTTGCTATAGCAACCACCTCAGACGCAATATTCTTATCAGCTTTTCTACTCAAGTTACTGAAAGCCCGGGCTACTGAAACAAATGGAAACAATAAAACACGCACTATACATGACAATAGCATAAAGTATTTGAACCAGTATTTGGACGTAAACATCAATTCCATTTATACGTTCTATAGAAATTGAAAATAAAAATTTTCACTCCAATCTATCCTACCTGTAATATAATTATTTCTTACCGTCCGTAACACATGCCTTTTGTTTTAAAAAAAAAAAAAAAACAAAGATTGGACAAAATTCTTTTAAACATCCCTCTAAAATTATCCTATTGGTACGAATTAAAATAGGTTGGATCAACCACTGCTTTGTGAAAAGATTTTTGAAGAACATTTCCAAATAACTTCGTATAATTTCCCCCTGGTGTTGTTCTTCGTTTAAGGAATGTTATCACATAAGTTTTTCAGTCTAATTTCACAACACTTTGGACTGTCTAATTAATCAGTTCAGGGGGTGATTGGATACCCAGACCGTTTACGTACTGTTTGCCATTAATCTCTGACTAAGAAAATGATCAAAACTACTACTCTGCGCATCAAATCGATCTTATTAGGATGACTGCTGGTTTTGGTGTAATTTTCTAAAATACGCATGTATATTTAATGTACAGTTGTTGTAACTGGCGAAAATAGGCATGGAAATTAAGTTTACAGTAAGTTTAATTTTCTATACATGGGCGTAGGCAACCGTATGTGTACAAAATATATTTAGAACGTGTAAAAAAAAAATCAGCATCCTCAGTTAGCGTACGCATTACAGTTTGGTTTGTTATAGGTTACGCGTAAAGCTACACGAGGGCTATCTGAGCTAGCCGTCCCTAATTTAGCAGTGTAAGACTAGAAAGAAGGCAGCTAGTCATCAACACTCACCGCCAACTCTTAGGCTACTCTTTTAACCAACGAATAGTGGGATTGACTGTCACATTACATAATGCCCCCACGGCTGAAAGGGCGAGCATGTTTGGTGTGGTGGGGATTCGATTGTGAGATGAGCGCCCTAACCACCTGGCCATGCCGGGCCCTTATTACAGTTAAGACTAATCTTTATTCAGCGTAATTTGATACAGTACGTATTACAGATAAGTCTACAGTCAGTGTAATTTTATACAGTACGTATTACAGATTAAGTCTACAGTCAGGGTAATTTTATACATTACGTATTACAGATAAGTCTACAGTCAGGGTAATTTTATACATTACGTATTACAGATAAGTCTACAGTCAGGGTAATTTTATACATTACGTATTACAGATAAGTCTACAGTCAGGGTAATTTCATACATTACGTATTACAAGTAAGTCTACAGTCAGTGTAATTTTATACAGTACGTATTACAGATAAGTCTACAGTCAGGGTAATTTTATACAGTACGTATTACAAGTAAGTCTACAGTCAGTGTAATTTTTTACAATACATATTACAAGTAAGTCTACAGTCAGTGTACCGTTCTACAATACTCATCAAAATTAAGGATTTGCCAGTAAGTAATTTAGGCAGTTACCGATTCATTGGTCAGATCTACACATGCCTCATGGCTTACACTAATTAATCTAACAGTGCCGGCCTTTACACTAATTAATCTAACAGTGCCAGCCTTTACACTAATTAATCTAACAGTGCCAGCCTTTA